TGGTAGATGCAATCCTCCATATAGCGGCTCCGACAGCTGCCAAGGTCCTGACCTCTGGAAATCCTGGAAAGCCGCGCTCGCGGATCCTATAGACGACAGTCATGCTGGTGGATACACCTACTTTGATCCGACTGATGCTCTATTCTGGACGTGGGACCCAATAAAGTATGTGCAGCTAAAGATAGATCGCATAGTAAAAGACAAATGCTTAGGTGGCGCGATGGCGTGGAGTTTTGGAGAAGAGAATGCAAGTCTACCGGACCATATCTCGGCCCTAAGCACGGGAATTCAGAACATCGATCTAACAGGCTGCAAACAACTGACGCCGTCGACAAATCCTTCTAGTATCAGTCAGGTTGATCAACCAACAGGCGTTGTAAACGTAAACTCCGGCAGCGAGCCACTGCAGCCTTCACCGTCGAAAGAGTCCCCACCAGATGGTGGAGTCGTAGACTTGGTGGTTACCCTAACAGCAGATTTTACGCCGCCTCCTGTGGTCACGATCGTAACTTGGATAACGCAGGTGGGCTAGCTTTGCATCATTGGGCCCTGATTCCCCAGACATTATTGAGAGTCACATGGAATAGAAATGACGGGTTTTGACTTGCTGTAACACGGTTTCTGATAAGAACCTTCACAGGAAATTAATGAAGCTCTTCCCTCCTTGGCATGACTATCTCTATCTCTTACATGAAGGTGTCATCTGCCTCTCGACTTAGCGACTGCTTACGAACATTCGACCTCAATGTAGAGCAGTCAGATGTATCCGACTTCCCATTCCGATCGTGCTGTCTCAAGGGACTGTCCTGCCGCGTTGGAGCGTAGTATGCCTTGCTGATAACGGAACTGATCCTCGACGTGCTTGGCGCTCCAGAAGTCGTGCAGCAAGTACCCCTGCGTGTGCAGATTGCCTGGGTCCATCCTTCGGTCTTTCCAGCGAACCCGATACAATAGGTTATTCTGTATCTCTATATGTCTTGGCTTCTTCCATGGGAAGCCATCTCTTAGACGCAGCTGGTGAATCAAGGGCGAAACGCGACTAAGCTCCTTGCCACGCAGTATTCTCTGCTTGAATCGAACTCGATACGCTCTGCCATCATAGCTTAGTATCTCTGCCGGTTCGTTCCAAGCTCTATTGTATGGTTCACGTGTGGTACTAGATCTGTGGGTTGTACATGCCTGAGGGGTGAAGCTTATAAATTAAAGTATGCAATCCATCTCCTCCCCGCTGGGTTGGCTACCAACGACTAAGCCGCTACAGAATTGACGCTGCCAAGAACCTACTGAGCCTCCTACCACGTTTAACAGGTCAATGGCACAGAGCGTTGGGCCTGCGCCCTTTCAACGTGGGAACTTCTGAAATTCTTCGCTGGAAAGAGCAGGTGGAAGCCGTGTGGTTTCATGATCAGCTGGCGACTAGTCACCAGTACAGAATCTCTCACGGCTCAGTTTCAATCGTAACGATATTAGCGCTGAATAGTGTAGTGGCTCAGTAAAGTGCGACGGCGCAGTAAGGTGTGACGGCTCAGTAAAGTCTGCGGCTCAGTAAAGCCTTAGTGACTGAGCATACATTACCGTAAGTCACTTGGTATGAGCTCTTTACCTGGGGTATACTTCGCAACTTGGTACTTTATGCGAAATAGCCCTACCTGACTCGTAAGCATGGGCCAAAAATTGGTCAAAGAAAAGTTCCGCAAGGCTAAAGACAATTTTCTTCGGAAAGGCGTGCTTTTCAAGAATTATGGCGCAGATATCTTCATCGTCATAAGGCGCGGTCAAAGGATTTATATATGTGACTCCGAGGAAGGTGTTTCTTGGCTGACAGATCTAAAGGTGCTAGTAAGATGAAGGCACTGATCATCTGGGAGGATGCACTAACAAGGCCAACAGGACCAGAACTACCCCATTCCGATTCGCGTAACGCCAAAACTATTCGAGACTTGCCCTCGTTCTAAGAAGTTGAAATTGGTTCAGAGAAGAGATAGGGTAGCCGATGATGTGATTGTGACAGAGGGATGATAGGCTATGTACAATACAGATCATTCCACGAACAGATCGGGGGAAGGATCGTCATAATCATCCCAATCCACGCCCATCGCTTTACTCACGTTTCGCCAGTTATATAGCCAATTGAGCAACGAAGGTATGCCTGTTGACGCCTCTCTGCCGAATGGAGGCTCGTTCTGGTAGATGGTTGAGTATCTTACGGAACTGTATCTGTGCCAGAAACAACACTATGATAATGTCATTTCGCCAGACACTGGTCAAACAAATATGCAACTGGACTGTGTCGTGTCCCTGTGTCATTCCGCGCTCCTTAGGACGAAGCGCTGGCCAACTTGCTGGCTAACAGCGAGAGTGAGAATCTGGACATGGTTGGCGAGGTGGAGAACATGGGCTTGGAATTGGGATGCATGCCGTCGCTTTATAAGAGCATAAGTCTGCAGGGGAGCTGGAACGTTTGCTTTGCTTAACACTCAGACACGTGAAATTTCGGACTGCGTGTTCGGCTAACGAAATGAGATGTGCCTATTAAACTATGAAATTCATGCTTGAGATTCGTCCAGACCGGTATTCAATTTCACACCTGGTCATATAACACGTTCGTCGGCACCCCACCCGGAGAGAATGACTAGGTAGTCAGTCCGTTTTGACAACTCACAACTGGATGGCCGCATTCTGATCTCTTAATCTCGACTCGTTCTCGAAACGCGATGTGTGGCCATCGTATCGGGCACTAAAGTGCTGGAACCATGAGGAGCTCAAGTCGTGCTACCTGCTCAGTGGGTACACTTGGGACACCACCACAGTCACTACTATGAGGCTCATATGGTCTCCATAAGACGTCCTGCAACGAGTCCCAGCTCTGAATGGTGTATTCATGATCGATCAACTGCGCTGGTTGATAGTCCAGGCTTCGTAGCTCTGACTCTATCAGGTAAGGAGATCCATTGGCGCCTGACATAAAGTCGCACGACCCGGCAGTATCTTGTGCAAGATCAAAATCATGTAGATTTAATATCGATTCTGTAGAGCTCTGGGGGGGATCCCTGCTCTCTTGCTCTCTAGCCCTCTTTACGTTTTGTTCCTGGTATAGCTGTTGTATGTATTCGTCGACGTACTTTGAGAAGAGAACCTGATCATGGTATTGCAACAACGACTCCTTGATCACGGATTGGCCCATCTTGAGGTCCCACCCCTGCTCCCACAGTCCCGGATGTCTTTTTCTTAGTATGTCAAGACGGCTGCGCAGAGATGCCAGTGACCTTCGTTGTTGATACTTAAGGGCGTTTTGGAGGGTAGTAGCGCAGTCTTTGAATGTTTTGCGACCAAATATCTTGAAGAAAGCGAGTAGAGCCATTTCCAGCTCAGTCCAATGGTGATAGGCTCGGGAACATCGTCGAGCCCGAGATCGTTTCATGTCTCAAGAGTCTGGTAATCGAGAGTTGAGAAAAGATCGAAACGATCGCCTTGCTAGAGTCGATGTAGATATTATAATAGAAGACTCTTCTATAGAGGTAGAGAGGCAAACTACTAAGCGCTAGCCAAGTACAGCCTTGCATGCCTAGACTTCATTCGCGCGCAGTGCCTGCAGTGGCGATTTCAAGTCTACCAGTCTTTGTTCGCACGTTCGATGCAAGCCTTATTAGAGGAAATTGTCTGCAGTCAGTCATGGTCATCAACACCTAAAACAGCCCGAGAATCTCGCCAGATCCTTGAAAGTGGGGATACAAAGAATCCTTGGCTGCACTCTCTCGTCAGCCCGGTCTACTCCGGTACGGCGCAGTCTATCGCACCTCCTTTGGCTGCCTAAACTAGGAGCGCTAATACAACCGGGTAAGACATGAATGGCTCTTCTTCACACCTAGGCATTGCTGGGAGGCTATCCTTGACGGAACGCCAGAATAATCAACAAAGGCATGGCGACTGTGCCTCAAAGCCGTCCCGTACTGGGCTAATGCATCAGAGATAACGTTACACGACACTTGAACGATGCGGTATACCCCACATATCTTCTTTCTTGCATAGATTAGACGAGCGAATGGCCATTAAAATTGCAGCCGGACTGTCGGAGAAACCGCTCGTGAATGCAGACTAATTACCGTGTCACAGCTCGTAAGGCTACGACTAGCGCCCGTTATGCGGCTCCTTCCATCTTAGCCCGTCGCGCAGTCTTTAAATTTTTTTGCGGCTAAATATCCCGAAGTAGGCGAGGAGAGCTATTACAAGCTCAGTCCAGGAGTAGTAGAGTTAGGGGCACCATCGATCCTGAGATAGTTTCATGCCTTAAGAGTCTAAAAGAAAATAATCTGCGTAAGGCGGCTTAATATTCAAACCAGGTCATAGGGTAGCGCCACGCGGGCAGAAGAACAAAGCAGAATATCAAGGGCAGCGATTTAGACAGACGGCTAATTAGATGATCCTCCACCGTCCTTGTTACCACGGTGCCGCCATGGCGGGTAAAGTCAAGCGAAGCTAGAAATGTAAAGGAGCCGTGGGAGCTAATTACCCAGGAGGCGCTAGTTACAGCCTGACACCTTCACTCGCATTTCTTGCGCTATCGCGCTCATTCGACTAGGCGTGTTCCGCGTAACAATCACATCATGCGCATAATAGGAAATGAAGTGTGACATCCATCGGCTTATCGATAGGGGTGCTGAATATCACACTATTCTTCATTCGTATTTCGACTGATTTTAACATGACGACCGTGATGATCACTAGAGCCGATATTACACATGTCTTAAGAATGCCACCTATATCCCGACGCAGTCTCTCTACAATGTATCTACTACTGAGCATCCCATACATTGTTCCATGGTGCCTTGGGTGCATCTAACTAAAGCTTGTAGCGGAGATTGATTGACAGCATATGTCTCTAGCTTTGTTAAAGTAGCTCATAACCTAGAGATATGGCGATAGCTTACTTACTGCTTCTGCAGGCAAGGCGGCAGCTGTCTCATTTCTTTGTAAGACGGAAGTATCTGTTCCTAATCGCGTCTTCGCTGCGAGGGCGGTTCGAGAACTTTTCGTTATACAACTTTACAAGCTCCCCCCAACTTATGCTCGGATTCTTCTCTAACATTGTGATTAGCCAAGCATTTTCTTCCTCTGTCCAAGCAAGTCCGGCCATGTCGAAAGTAATGAGTGCTTAGCAGGTGGTGTATACATAACACCTGCGGGTACTGTACAGTAGACTGAAGGCTTTATAGGTTAACCAAGTCGTCCGTCTTAACACCTGCACATGTACGGCGCAGTATGGTAGTGACGCTACATTAACGTGTACTCGCATTCCGGCTTAATGTCGCTATCTACTAGAAGACTGTCTGTCAGAGGAGGAACTTTTGCTGAGCCATGATTTTGCTGAGCCATGATT